GTATGAAAATCCGCAGATCCGTGCCTTTTTTTCACCAATTCCGTCGATCCGCCAATATTTTTGTTCAAATCCGAAACCACAACCACATCCGGAAACAGAAGTGTACAAGTTCAAAGGCAAACTGGTAAATATGAATGCCATTGTTATTTTCTCACAAATAGTAAAGAAGGCAACATGCTTGATGACTATAACACAATACAATTCCAATAACAGTCTCACACTTGTTTCGTTCGAAAAAATAAATAATTTGGATGAACTCATTAACGTATACCACATACCGACCGAGGCTGAAGAAAGATGTTTGATCCAAATTTCGATTAAGACCCAAGACCCGAACATCAAGACAGGCACAATCCGGAATCCGCGCCAAAATTCACAGCTGATCCACGATCCACTGTGTTTTCAAAATCCGCGAATCCACTTTTTAAGGCCAAATCCGTCGATCCGAAAACTTATCCACCCCCCTCAACATACCAAACGGCAAGTTATTACAGTTAAGTTTCTTAGACCATGCGTTGTCTATTTATGTTTGTAACCGCTGTTTGTTTCTTTTCCTTCTATAGTTTTGTGTGTCGAAATTTGTAAATACAATACAATTATATTTTTATTAAGCCGTATAAAATTTTCAGTTCTTTCTCTAAACGGCAAAACTAACCTAAAAGCGACAAAAACAGCACTAGATAAATGTTCGATGCTGATATTTCTGCAAGAAGTTATGTGCGTCATATCAGCCTTTAATGCCGGCAGGCGGGCTCGAAAATTACTTTAACACCATCGAGACACCACTGAAATATATTCGAAAACAGAAATGTCATACGCTATAACCTAAGAATATGGCCTATAATCAGCAGAAAAATAAGAATATTCAGCCTCGGCCGGGAAAGCAATATTCTTAAATATATAAAACAGAAGAGTGTATTGAAAATCGGTAAGCTAAGATTTCAATTCTGAGTAATTTCTACGGCCTAAACAGTTTAATTACAATTTTGCTTTTGGGGCATGTACATCTTCAAAACTGAGGAAGCGTAATAGTATTTCTTTTTTTTTTTGTTTTTTTTTGTTTTCTTTGTTTCTTTTTTTCCAATATTTTTCTTCGCTGACGGTATTTTTTTTCTCACTAGGGTCGTGTAAAGTGGGACTGCAGGGTCTGTCTTAGGCTCGATCACCAGCTGCTGTTTGGGAAAGGATTGGGGCAAAAAAAGTAGACTAGGAGATGGCATTTGGGAAAAGTTTGGATTGAAAAATGAGATTTACACCTCCACAACCCACCCCTAAACCCCAGGAATCAATTGTTTTTAGAATTGGATAGTTGTTGGTAGTAAAGCTTTGAAATTTCTGCAATTTTGGGAAAATTTTCTATTTCCTTCAACTGCAAACTGCATTTTTCTATGTTTTGTTTTATTTGCATAATTTTGGACTTTTTTTTTATATATATATAATTCAGTGTTACACTTTCCATTCACAACCGATGAAGACCGAAGTTCTTCGGTCGAAACGTCTGTTTGGTGCTTTTAACAAAACGTTTGTTAGAACGTTTTTTTAACCAGTGTCAAACCATTTTTGTATATCATCATGAATCCTGGCTGCAACTTTAGTATCTTTTGTTTAATACTACTTCATCTGTAATGCACGTAACGACACGGACACGTGAAGAAGAAGCACTCGAGAAAACAGAATCAGAATGAGTTGACGATAACAAGCGAAACTTTATTTTACATCACACACTCATCAGCCCTTGGTGGACTAACAGCAAATGAGTAAGTAATAAGATATCATTAATTTTACAATGACTCCTAAGGATATGAAGAGTCAAGCATTAAAATAGTCATAAAATATTTCAATTAATCCAGAATATATACGATTGTAATATATCACGAGACCGAGATACAAGTCCTGTTTTGGGAACCATCAGAGAATGCAAAGCCATTTGGCTCGTATCGTCAAATCTTGATCACTCTGCAAGTCCCTTTGTCCACTAATCAGACATTGCGTGAACCGTTTTGCGTATTTGATTCTCAATTGTTAATTATTTTCTTAGGCTACTAACCACTTTCTGAATTTTACCATACAAGATCAACCCAGATCATTGGTTTACCAGCCACAAGTCACGCAACTCAGTTCAAATAGACACGAATTTTTACTCCGAAAACATGAACTTGCTTCTCTTGACAGTAGTTTCAATTACAGGCCCCTATTTGGGTCGTCACGCAACGTTATTGCGAGAATCATTGCATGACGGCCCACAGGAGAAGAGGACGATTATGGTATGAAAGTACGATCTTAGTTTTGCACTTGATATTATAGTCAAGAAATACACTAATTCACCAACTTAAACTTTTGACATAGCACTAAATGGTCCTCTTCCGGGAGTTTGAATGGTCTACTGCCTGGGGGAGGCCATTCTTTTATGTACTGAAAACGGAGATATATCTAGGAACAATCAAATCATTTAAAATATATACATTTTTCTGACACTGGACAAGAACACCCTAAAATTTTACGTCTTTAAGACACCCCGCTCCCTCCAAAAAAAAAACCAAAAACAAGACAAAACAAACAAATGAAAAACAAACTAACAAACAAAACAACTAGATGACCTCTAACTTGAAGGAATTCCCAGGCAGTGTACAATTTAACGTGGTATAAGAAAGTTTTAAGTTGGTTAGCTGCCACTATACTACAATCCTAAGCTGTGACTAAAATGATTCAAATGATAGGTAGATAATATATGCCCATCAAATCAACAAAATAAAATTTAAATGGTGTATTTTCGTTGTATGTAAACTGCCACTTAGTAATTGAATAGCTATCATCTACGACAATGATCAAAACATACATCATCATCATCAACATATCATTATAACATTGCGATGCCAAATCTAAAGGAAGAGTCCAAGAGACTATTTGCACTGAAAATTGTAAGCAAATCTGGGCCAAAAAGGCCCCTTCCCCCTACGCGTTAAATCACAAAGAGGGCCCCACTATTATCAGAGCCCTCTCTCAACTAAGAAAGAGACAGTTTGGGGACTTTGACCTCTAGATGTGCCACCGCATAACATCAGTAGTGATATTTTACAGCCACCCTTCTTGAATATATATCTCACAGGAAGAATGAGCAAGATTTAGGAAATGTTTGGAGTTAGTAAATTGTTGCCAAATTCCTCGATTTGAACTTTCTTTCAAATGGCAGTCATTATCAAACAAACAGTTGACTCAGTCACTTGACACTTTCACTTTTAAGAGGACAAATTTACAAAGACTCGTTGAGGGGTTTTACATGTCAGTGGATAAAAGTCTAGTGTGCATGTAAGTGATCATTCAAATGCATGCTTTCAAGAAAATAATACAACTAATGGTGTTGGAAATTTGACACAAAATTTGGCACCATTTTTTTTTTTTACTTTGAGCCTTGCACATGTGTTAGTGAAAGGGTTTTTGACCGATACTATATAACACATTGTTATTTCAATACACATAAATCACCCTCTAAAGTATACAACAAAGTACATTAAAGGAATTGACACACACTTGGGACTTACGTGTATCAAGATTAATGACTATATCCCCATAACAAGCAATGTAGTACAAGAAAGAAAGCTAGCAGTTATAACATCATCACACACAAAGGCTTTGCTGAAACATTTCACAATGTTACCACATGAACTGTTTCTCTAACATTTGTGCCAAATGTGATAAAACAGAAGTTAGGTAAAATGAAAAGATGCAGTCTTGATTAACATTATGTGCAAGAAAATATTTTGGTAAAGATGATTTTGTCATATTTCACAGAAACATAATTAATCCTTAAATCCTCAACAGCAACTAACTGCTAACTTCTCTATACCTGTTTCTAGACAAGCTCAGGCAGGCAAGCAATGAGAACCAAGAACTTGATCAAAACAGGAATATCTAAACTTGACCAAATTCTCCCAAAGCAAATTATAGCAAATTTCTCAAGACAGTAAGGAGAACTAGACTTTTGATACTGACCCCGACAAATTGTTGAATGATTTATTTGAAACATATACAATCTCAAAGATAAGTCATGAAGATACAATATAATTTTTTAAGCCATTGATTTGTCATAGCAGTGAGCAGGCAATGGCTTCAAGGTTTTGTTACAAGAATAGATTTTTGTTGAAGTATAAAATATCAAGCACAAACTAACCAAACACTGAAGCATTTATAACAAGTATAATTCCAAATAATATATTATTATGCTGAAAGCCATTATGTTAACTATTTGGATATATTAAAATATTTTACTTTAAAAATACAATCTTTGTATTACGTTTTTAGTGCTTGATTATTATTTTTAAGATGGCATATCTTTCCAACCAATTACAAAGCAATCTTCAAGATAATTATTTCAGGGTAACATATGCATGTTGGTCATGTTTGCAGAAATCTACCATTGTCTTTTCCAGTTTTGTACACAACACATTCAACATAAATTATTGTAGCTTCAAGTGTGTCAATCATATATAAGAATGCTGTTCAAATCCTTCCAGGGTCAATAAGTGTGAACTACCAATTTTTTCCATTACAAAGCTTTCATTTACAAGGCAGCAATTATCATTTTATTAAGCACATGCAGATGTAACTGAGAACAAAAACCTAATTCTCCCTACAGACTGACCTATCTCTCTTTCGACTTCAATTCTGAGAATTTGATATTACATCAAGACAATATCTTCACTCTGATTGGCTGCCTGCCAGGATTTTTTTTAAGATACCCAGTTCAATCATCCACTGTTGTTTGAAAGTTTAAAAGAGCTGGTAACTAAAATTATTATGAACTTGATTTACTGGAATTCGACTGCAAATTAAGTCAGAGCCCTCTGCTTACTGCAACTTTCAATCCTGGTAAACTACATCAGGTGCATGAATTAATGACATGGAAAGTCACCAGGACTACTTTTAAACTAATGATTTTAAAAACTTGAAATAAGAAGAAACTTCATAACATTCATCAATTCATTAGCAAATTTAACAACTGTCCTGCAGTTGAGGGGTGCTACACCTGAGAGGCTAAACCATGACTGCTATGTCTGACTAAAACAAGTAAATGTGCTACTTCTAAAGTATTACTGGGAGTGGTAGGCTCTGACCTTTATCTTACTGTTTCAACAACAATTTCTTATGAAAACTGACTGATCATGAAGAAAAACAAAACAAAACAAAACAAAACAGTGAAGGAAAGAGGAAGAGAAAAATAAAAAATGATATAGGCACACTTCTACCAATGACCGTACCACTGATTAGTAATCTATCAGACAACAAAACAGCTTAACTTTGTTGTAGTTATAGTTTTTCCACAACCTCAAGTCTATATGGCAAGAAAGTCTTTGGGTTTTAGAACAATGATATCCCCTCCCCAGACAATTAACCCCATCCATCACCCTAACAAACCACTTCTAACAAGAAACACATACTGTAAACATTCACCAAACCAGGTTTACCTTTTAGTACTCAAGCTGTAACAGGCATTTTGTTGTTGTTGTTACAGCATGTATGTATACATAAAACATGGAAAGCTACCCTAGTGAACCTTGTTCTAAAGCTGATAAGGTTCTTGGCTCCATCGCCTGTCTATTTTATCCTTGCTTATACAGCATAAGATGATAGAGAAGCAACACAGGCTTGCAGAGAAACATTTACCAAACAAGTAAATCACACTGGTGACCCACACACCACACTGCACTCTAAGGAACAATAGAATTTAAAAATTGCAAATTCACCAAAATAATAATTATATTTTTAAGTATTTAAACCAGCTGCACTGAGAAATGGCCAATGTGGGAGAAATGTAATGTTCCAGTTTGGGAAATGACAGGAAAGGCAGAGAGAAGGAGAAAAGACTAGAATTTGACCATTATAATGGGGCAGGGATGAAGCTAAGAAAACATTAAGCCAGCTCATTAACAAGCCCAGATGGCTTTTCTGGTTCTCGCAGCTCTACAGTTTAACCAAGTCTTTGTTTTCTGTGAAATTTCATCTGCATTTAGGTCCTTTTTCAGTCAATGATATATGCTAGCAACCAGCCTTTAGCAACATCCCTGGTGGGGGATCTTTGCTTTTTGAATGCAGGTGCTTTGTTACATGTATGTTAATATACCCTGGAGTCTAGGGGTTATTCAGTTCTTTTCCCTGGGGGCCAACCAAAGAGACGAGAACAACAGAGCTACAGTTTGACTCTTAAAACTTGCTCTTCATTCAGTTGCAGAAAAAAAAGCTAGGAATGTTTCTCAAGCTACTGCAGTTTACATGGCCAAAAAAAAAAGAAGAAGAACAAAAACATGATGAGCAACTGAAAGAAGAAAGCAGTCCAAATTACTGGGAGAGAGGCACTTTGATAATGAAAGACTTACACTGTATTTTTTTTCTTTTAAACAAATTAGAGTTCCTAAAATGCCTCTTGTTTCACAGTTTGAAACAACAAACTATCTGACACCCTTGAAAGACACTGTGCTTCTGACAAGTATTTTAATATGTATATTCTTTATACTGTCATTCTAGAAACCCCTTCTTTTCTGGCATCACTTTAATGACCTCTGGCCCTTCATATTCAAAAAATTGAGTAGCCTGGTCAAAATTGTGCTTTCAAGAAATTCCTAACACATCTAAGTTTACTCTATACAGATAAAAAGAAGCAAATTACCCCAGGACTCCAGAGTCATGTAGTATATATACAGTTTAAGCTTTGACCTTATCACTAATCCTCATCCTCACGAGTTCCAGCTAGTGGTTCTTCCATGGGTGGCAGAGGTACACGCGACAATGATGGGGTAACCGATCCTGGGGCAACAACCTCGCCACCTCCTGATTTAGACGTGGGTTTCTTGTACTTGAGAATGCCAAAATAACGAAGCAAAGCAAAAATAGGAATGAAGAGCACTGACAGACAAATGAGCATAGCAATGACTGCATATCCCCATCCAGGATAACTCAGGTTCACTGTCTTGGACTGAAAAGGCAAAACAAAATAAAACACAAATTGAGTTTACTTCTTTTCTCTACAAAATTAAAAAGAGCTAATGGTGATTTACATCAGCGTTATATGCAAACTACTGTTAGTCCTTCCATGAACAACAACTTACATCAGAAACCATTAGTCTATTACTTAAGTGATGAGCTGATTTAGCACCCTCCTATCTAATACGTGCCCCTCACTCAACTGTTTTTTTTTTCCCTTTTTTTTGCTCTTGTTCAGTTGTTCTCTCAATTAAGTTATTGTACCACATTCAGTTGTATAATAATATAATTTTGTTAAAAAAAGAAATAAGCACCCCTCTCCAATAAGCCCTCCCCCCCCCAACCCCTTGAGCTGCCAAAAGTAAATTAGCACTGCGCATGCTAAAAAGATTCATTAAGGTATAATATACATCAAAAAAAAAAAAAAAAAAAAACTGACCAAGGAAATCCATTTACTTACATGTTCCTTATCCCACGCAGAGTAGGTCATGGGGTTGATGGCCAGATTAATAATACTGGCAATGGTGATAATCACAATAAGTGCTGGTGAGACGTAGCGCCAACAAATCCTCCAGTACATATGTGGCCGGAAGCCAAGCATATACTGAATGTCATCTTCAAATCTGTTAAAAAAAAAAAACATGCACTTGAACCCCACCATAAAAATTTCAATTTCTCAGGGAAAATGAAAAATAGTTTGAAATAGCAGCAGTTTGAAATAACAATAGTAGATGTAAATGACTGAAGGGCAAATACAAGGGAAATGGTTTTGAGTTTGAAATAACAGGGATTTGAATTAGTGGGGTCCAACAATAATCATGTCTTAACATAAAGGAAAACTTCCATGGCAAATGCATGCTCAGAAACATCGGCAATCAAAATTGAATCTTCTCAGAGTATTCAGGTTACATATCATTTTTAAAAGTCCTGACACTTCAAAGACAGAAATCTTGTGCCTTCGACTTGGACAAAGATGGATGGTTAACCATGGCTTCATCACAGGAACCAGTGATTTACATGTGTCTAAAGCATCCTGAGAAAACTAATTAATACCTTGTATGATGGCCTAGTTTTAATGTCTAAGAGAAGGAAAAAATTCTAATTTATGAGGAGAGAGAAAAAACCCAATTCTGAATTGCTAGTAGGACAATAATATCCAAGTACCCTCACCTCTCAGTTGTGTAGATGTAACTGACGCCAATGAGTTCAAAGAAGCCAATGAACAACAGTGGCAGAGTGGCACAGTAGTTGTCAAACATCTGCAGCCAGTACTGTCCAGAATGTTGACAGAACAAGAAACCGATAAGGTAACAGAATCCACAGATGCAAGCTGTAAAATAGAAAAAAGAAAAAAACACCCATTAATTACATTTGCATTGGCTCTGTCTGGATGCATGGAGTCGATAGGGGGATGAAGGAAGGTATTTAGATTGTTAGATTGTTAGATTGACTGTACCCATCATAGTAGTGTTTTTCAAGCATGACTAGTATTGCAGTTTTCAGAGGAGCTGCGACTTATTTTGTCTTCATTTTTTTCTTCCATACAGCTTGATGCACTCCTTAATGCCTCGTACAAAGTTACACTTACCAGTCATGACTTCTTTTCTCCAAGGAAAGATCTTCAAGTCATAAAAGGGTGTAATAACACCCTCCAGAGTTCCAAACATACTGCCAAGACCAAGAGTCAACAACATACAGAAGAACAGCACAGACCAGAGAGGTGATGCAGGCATCTTCACTATGGCTTCAGTAAAGGCAATGAACGTCAGGCCAGGACCTTGAGCAGACTAAGAAAGAAATGTTGTACAACAAGATGAATGAACAGTCACGTAAAACGAAAGGAAAGTAGTTTCTGTGTCAGTATTTCCTAAACACAATCAAATGAAGGAAAAAAATAATTAAATGAATGAAAAAAAGAATAAACAAAAGAACGTATCAATGAACAATGAACAAACAAATGAAAAAACAAAGAAATGAACTAACAAATGTAACACTTTTTAATGTTCTTTTGCACAGGTATGTTTATCAAGGGAGGAAATGTACATGTACATGTACAACAAATTTCAAAGTTAAAGTTGTATGTGAGGAAGAAATCTGAGCATACCTCTGATAGCCAGTATGTCAAGTCATGGCAGTTTTTAGCAACCAAGTCAGTGACTGTTCCATTAATGTCTGTGCCGTTCATGGCTCCATAAAACGCCTGACACTCATGCAATGATTGGGTGGCCTAAAGTATCACATACAACATCATCATCATCATCATCATCATCTCGCCAGGTAATAAAGAATAATAAATGTTGATAGGACTGCACGGAAGTACATTGTCACAAATACATTACATGACACAGATCAAGAAACCCAACACCCCGTTAGTTGCTATGCAATACTAGAATTTCAAGATCTTTTCTGAATAAATCCCCTTCTACGTGACCCCAAATGCCAACAATTAATGCAAGATTCTGTGATATGAAGTGACTATAAGAGTATTGCTACTCCTCTGGAGGGATGATATACTGGCTAGGAATAATAATAATATCAATAATTATTTTTTAATCCACCACAGGGAAAACCCCTGGTATTGTCTCAGGATTCCCTAGTAGTGTGCGGGTACCAACTGGTATCCCAGGTGGAGAGGCACTTTGAAATTTAAGTGCTGTACACACGAGCACAAAACAATGACCATGGCTGGCACACAAGTCCAGACTGCTGAATGCATAGTCCATCAAACTAACCATACACCACTGAATCTCAACATCTCAACAGGTAATTTTCACTCCAGCAAATGGCAAAGTGATTTTATTAAAACCTACCTTAAAGCCAAGGATACTGAAAATAACAATACTGGCGAACACTGATGTTCCACAGTTGATCAGTGAGACCATGATGGCATCCCTGTGGCAGTTATTGTGCACAGGGTTATAACTGGACATAGCAATAAGCCCTCCAAAGGCCACGCTCAGGGAAAAGAAAATCTGAGTGGCAGCCTCCAGCCACACCTGTGGATTGATGAGCTTGTCAAACTGTAAAAAAACAAATAGCAACAAAACCAGCATTAGAGGTGAAGTTCTGTATGCAATACAAATCATGTATATATAAGTAGTAATTAAGAAATATTGAAAAATGCAAGTCATGTGCATGTACGTTAAATGCACACATTAAGGCTGAGATGAACAAATTTCAATTTCCTCCAATTTCCAATAATTCATTTGCCTAGCAATCAGCCAAGTACAACAAAAATAAATGTATAATAAATGGACTACGGTAAGTATAGTTTGTGTTCTGTTATATATGAGCTTCACTGACCACTACTTACTTCGTGTTGCTTTGCAGTCAAACATAGAAGGGGGCCAGCACTCTCATGCCACGACTTCAAAAGTCAAAACTTAATCGTATCATTGTGTCTTGGGAAAATCACTAAAAACTAACTAAAATTTGCTTTGCCCACAACAACATCTTGATGTTTTGGGAGCATTTTATGAATGAGAGAAGGTACCCAATCATAATTTGAGCACTACTTTGACCAAAAAAGCAGCAATTTACTAATAGTGTCCCTTTAATGGTGTATCTTAAAAAAAAAAAACAAAAAAAAAAACAACATATATCCTGTGGTAAAATTATTTCTGATTATTGCACATCACAATTCAAAATACTCCAGTTTCAAATTCCATGATTCTCCTCAAAGCCAATGGTTCATACAACAATCTTTGAGATCACAACATGTTCATGGTATACATAACTGCTTCATTTCAATGTTACATGTATATATCCCTTATATACCTAATGAAAAACCTAACCTGAGGTTTAAACATGTGTGCAATTCCAGCTCCAGCCCCTTCAAGACTAACACCACGGCCAAAGAAGATGGTCAGAACAATATACGGAAATGTTGCAGTAAAATAAACTGCCTGAAAATTGAAAAATGTAACCAAAGTTAAAATGTGCTCTCGCTAACGGATTATCATTTGTGTACAATACAAACAAGGTGAACATGTTGTCCCACTACAACTTGACATTAAATGGGCCAGTGCCAATATTCAGTGGAATGCAGATGGTGCACAAAGCAGGGAAGGTACAATAACATAAGAAAAAAACTGAGTTCAGAAATCAACTTAAAGTAGACTTAAAAAAAAAAAAGAAACAAACATTGACTGTATAAATCTAACAATATACACTGTAAGGTCCATTAACAAACTATTAATAACCAGTTTTGAGATCAATATTTACGCTGGAACAACAGGAAAACTTATGACCAGAATTTACTGACAGCTAATGCACCTTTCCAGCTGACTGAACGCCCCTCATCATGCACAAGAACACGACAATCCAAGCAACCAACAGCACCAGGACAAGATGCCAAACAAGTCCGCCACTCTCATCAATGGTTGGAGTCACATCAAGAGCTTTGCGATACCAGTAGTACTGTGTCCTACCAGCTTCGTGACACTCCTCGAGTAAGGTACCATTATCCAATCGGGGGCAGTTAGAATAGGGAAGAGGGTCTTGGAATGACGCAAACAAGTAGTAAAAGCACCAAGCAATGATCATGTTGTAGTACATTCCCACCAACAGGCACACGACAACACAGGCATAGCCGACACCTCCAAGGTAGGGGTGAATGGCATTCCATACTCCAACTGATCCTTGCCGCAGACTCTGGCCAATTGCAAGTTCAAGAAAAAAGAGTGGGATGCCCAGAAGAAACAGACTGAGGAAGTATGGAATCAAAAATGCACCTGCAATGGAAAAAAAACTCATTATTTGAAGCATGATTTTGTAAAGGATACAAGAGACACTGAGATGCTTGCAAATATGTTATCACAGGACCTCTTTGTTTGACTGTTTTAGTCAGACAAATACAAAGTTATGGCCTTTCAGAATAAAGTGCGTGCCTGGAGAAAGACAATAAAGCCAAACTCCATAAAGCTTTTGTATTAACCCATAATTTGATGCCTGTGCCACCCCTAACCACCCATGATGATCGTTGGCGTTTGTTCCATTTCTGACATCATCACCTTTGACCAAAATTGGCATCACTTGCTCCCAAGTTCTGCACGAAGAAAAGATCTTTCCAATGATACCCAGATCAGAGTGATTGGGTCAATTGAACATGAAATATGCACAAAAATGCTTAGAAATTTGAGTGAAAAACTTGGAGCAAAATTTCCCTCTACTACACTTGGCTACAGGTACTCTGTGGTAAGAATTTCCCTTCTCGATGATGCTTTCACTGAAATTCTAGAACTGGAAGCAAGCTCAGTAGTAGGTCAACAACTGCAGCACAAAGATAGGAAAAGGAGAAAAAGGAAACGCAAAAAAAATTAAAAACCAAAAGAAGTCTAAAGACGATTTCTGCACATGCATGCCTGAACAAAAATGTCATAAAATACAGTGCTAGTGGAGGGAAAGGCATGCTGCCTTGTTGGGTAGATTCGAGCTAATTTAGCTCATATCCAGGCTAAAAATGTCCAAAATGTCCAAAAACTGCTTTTCTTTTCAAAAATTTCAGGTGTCAATGGGTTAATAAGGCCATTGCATTTCCCTCTGTTAATGTGTGTATCAAAGAGCAAAACAGCACCAAAGTCTTTGAAATGTTGAAACCAAAAGAAACAATTTATGAATAGTCTATAAATATGCATTTCCTATGTTACTTATCTTTTATTTATCTTTTTAATTTAGATTTAAACAAGGTCTATGTTTTTTCATTAACTGTTACTGCAGCAGAAGGGCACTATATGAAAGAGTGTCAGACAGGCATACACACAGCATCAGACAGTCTGTTAATTAGGAGTCATAAAAACTTTTAACCAATTAACCAGCTTGTATATAACGTGTATTACTTTCACAAAAATCTTCCATCAATTCAAATTTACAAAATAATTAAATCATTTAGATGCTTTGTATACTGATGTTATTGGAATTGTCAAGTATGTCCCAAAGGTCGCAGAGTTTAAATCATTTAGTCCGCCAAAATTTAAAAAAAATTCAGCAGCCTGCAATACATCAGTCACAGAACAAAAATGCAATGGCAACACTGAGGAGGACTGCAATCATTAATCTTATGACATGGGAAATTATTAATCTAAATTTACACTGTTCCTGCAACAGATTTTAGATCTAAACAAATTAAACAAATTATATTAGATAATTTAAAAGATAAGTATCACACAAAAGAAGCTGGAGAAATCACATTCACAGCTGGACATACTCAATAAATAGGTAACAATTTTAATTTTTGCCAATGAATAAATTCCCAAAAGACAATTAGTGTGGACAATTTGTGTCAACCTCTGCATGTATTTTTTTTTCTGTGCTTGGCCACATAAGCTGGTGTTGTTTTTCAGATACACTAAATTCCTAAGGTGTGTTATAGAAATAAAGTTCATTTCTTCCATCTCCCATAAAGATAAGGTTTATGTGTTTTAAAATATAACAATTTCACAGTAGATTAGATGATTGAATAAACATGGAAAACAAGGAGTCACTGATGATTACATTGTCAGTCTAATCACTTGTTGTGAAATACATCGGAATACGTTGTGCAATAACTTGAATATCAAACGCCCTTGCATGGCCCATATGGAAGTCACACACCACAGCGTGACAAATACAAATTAAGCTAAACAATAGCGTTCTTTGATCGGGTTGAACAACGCAATCTGACAAAAGAAAAGGTAGTCGGTTCTTCCCAAAGTCATTACACTGTCATTAGTGAATGCATTTCGCAAGACGTGTGCAGAAAAAAATGTAAACACCATGTCAGGCAACAGTCATCGAGCACTACCAAAGGAATTCGGGCATGAAATTAAACAAACCATAACAAAATATAGGGAAGCGAGTTTCAAAGACCAAACTTAATTAGCTCTTTGTCTCTTTGAAGCACAATCTTACAAAATTCTTGAGAAAGCAATTATCATTCACAAATTTAAGCTTAACTCAACTCAATTATTTATTTAAATAAACACGAAAATCATTTGCAGTACAAACGGGAGCATACGTGTCGGGCGCATGTATGATTTCAATTCTAAAGAAAACAAATGTAATTTTGATCCTTTCACCTTCCAAAGAAGATAAGAGCATTAACGATTAATTAATGCGATCTGAGAAGAAGAAATACGATATCCTGAAATCTCGGGATCTCGAACTTGCTTCATTTTCAATTTAGGGTTATTATGCTTAAGCTTAGTCGACTTCAAATTTAACTTAACCAAAGTTAAAAAAAAAACCCTGAGTTGAACTATTTCTATAACAGGCATCACTTACAATGAGCGATAGAAACTAGCTCCGACCAGCCTGCCAATTTTGCCCTCGATATTTTTTTTCGCCAGCGTGAGATCGGGCGAGGCGGAACGAGTCTTACATTAACCTTTTTGTCGACCTTTGTGGTTGGCCTCGAAAATAGCCTCAATAAACCATAAAATTAAATGCAGTTACCTCCTCCGCTTTTCTGGCAAAGATACGGAAATCTCCACACATTTCCCAGACCAACTGCAAAACCAACCGTGGCCAAAATAAACTCGACCTTGTTTCCCCATCCTCCTCGATCGTCCACAGCTACTTCAGGCTGTGCCGTAACCCCGCGCGCTTCGGCGGCTTTTTGCTCTGCAGCAGCGTTCGAATTTTCTTCCTTAGCCGGAGTAATCGTTAAATTTACGACGCCATCTTTCAGATTTGCTGTGGTCATGGTTGGAAGAAAACCGAGAACTCTGCGGTGTGGTGACGGACGAAGGTCTCGGCTGTACACTTGCCTCTAGGGCGGCGAAGTCAATGTGAAAACAAACACCGTCCTTTGTGCACACAGCACGTGAAAAGCTCAGATTTCAAATTATGGTCGGTTTCCGTCACTTCTACCGCCGATAAAACAAGTCCTTTTTACACTTCATTTAACTCAAAAGCAACACCTGGCCAACAAAAATTATACAACATTTTAGCAATTCTACAACGCAGTTTGGTGTACAACAGAAAAGTTTGAATGAATGAAAGAAGCCAACGAGTCCATTATTGGCAGGTGTCAATCTTCTTGCCGTCTGTCGGAGGTAATTTATCAGTTCTGTGCCCTCCTCCGATAAACAGTCTAAACAGGCATTGATTTCTTCCTCTCCCGAGATCGGATGTTTAAACATATTTGGTCATATTTCAAGAACGGAATAACTTAACGAACTACCCAAGTGTTCGTTGTTCGCGAAGGTGAGACTATGCAGCGAAGTAGACTGTAGATGGCAATTTCTTTCAGGTGAGGTATTTAGTAGTTTTCCAGTAGTGACGCCCCTAAAATTGGAATCGCACATAGCTAGCGCCGTCAAGTTATTCAAGTTCGCCCTGTAAATACAAGTCAATACCTTGCAGTTACTGCGCATTTAACGCGTCTATTCCAAATTCCAAAATAGGTCAAAGTTAAAACCCTTAGCTATCTGCTGGTTTTTTTCACAACACTACACATTTTCGTTGTACCCGGGGATGACCCAGGATCGACGATCTACCACCTGGGGCCGGCAACGTGGAAAATTTCATACTGTAGATCTGGTCCTTTAGGTAAATGTGCGAAGAAACGTTCGCCTGCACTGATTCCACCCGACAGATATCATCAAATTAGTTTCGATACCACTCGCACAAAAAATGGATAATGAAACTTAGGCTCTGTCGACTTGACCGTTTTTGTTTATCTTTCTTATTCTTGCAGACGGATTGTTCTTTATGAGCGATCTACCGCGCAGAAAGTGTAAGCAGAGGTGGAGAAAAGGTATGCGAAATTCAGTTACTGTGGTGTATTAATAACCTGGCCGAAGATTTTGATCTTCTTACGAAACAATAGCCTTGAAGAATCACGCAACAATAATCCTTTCAAAGTAAATTAATCTTTCCAATTTCCAAGAAGTCGTTGTCGCAGAAAATAAAAGCAGTGTTATTAGGGTGTATTTCATACAGAAACAAGGACACAAGCGTTCTTTAACCTCATCCATTCAGCAATGTGCTCTGGGGAAATTTTGCTCCACCGGAGGAAAACTGTTCCATAACAGAAACTGAAGGTAAACAAATTAACATGGCCCCTGCCTCGAAAAGCAAGGGTGATTCAAGCTCTGTTAATTACAAATAAGCAGGAAAGATCCAAGTCCCTTGTTCAAGTGGTGGTCGAAAAACTGCCCTCACCCCATAAAACGGTTTTCTTTACCATTTCCTATCGGTAGCTGGTTTAACAAACCTAAACCTACAAGCACATGCTTTTTTTTGTGGAAAACCCGCCACATTTCCGGACTTCCGGTCACATGACATTAACCCACGCTTACGCGCGAAAATAGTGGCGGGAAGTGAAAATTGTAAACAAACACACGTGATGCGTGCATGCGAGCGATCTTTTGTGGACACTCGAAAAAAATGCGAGAGTATTAAATGAGTACGGTTGATCAATACTCACCTTTTTAAAGTTACATATGCAGAAATATCTTTTCAAATGATCGGTCTCTTATTTTTAAAATTAAGGAGATCGTTCTAATGAGAAACATTGGGTAAAGGCAAAAGTATCTGCGGCGAATGAATGACTTGGCAAAACCTAATATGCTAATATACACAAGACGGCGACAACAACTCGGCGATATCGATTTTAAATTTTGTTGAGTTAAGATAGGACTTAAAATTAAACTTCTATTGGTAAATGGCTAAAAAACTGTCTTCCAAAATTCAGTGATTTTTTATCGTAAAGGAATTCTGTGTATGAGTGTGTGTGTGTGTGTGTGTGTGTTCGAGGAACTCAAAAAGCTGCGAACGACCGCTCGGGTAGTCAAGCAAAGCAGTTGTATGTACTCCTTGTGACGTCGTAAAAAATTCACGATCTCTCAGAATTTGTCTCAAATTCATGAATGAAATTTAACCCTACGAGGTCAATAATTTTATTCGTTTCGTGAAATTTTAAGTAGTCTGAAACAAGTATTCATGTCGCAAATTTATGTTGCGACGTGTAAGCAAATTACGGCAGAACTAATGTTTATATTCCTTAGTACGAAGACTACGACGATTAAGAAAATATGAATGGATGAAGAAAGCAATTTGAGTGAAATTTACTTTCGAATGAAATATTTCTCTAAGTCTTTCGAACTTCGAAACGGTGTTTCGAGAAGAATCAACTGATAAAGATGAGTTACATTTCATCGTGAATCACTCAATTTACCACGAAAGAAAGTCCATTGATGAAAATGAAATATAACATGTTTTGAAAAGGACGAAACACGTGCAAAAAGTGCAATTTCCGCAGGTGTCCGATTTTCGCTTTTAAATTCCGATGAGAGTTAGTTTTTAAGTTTAAACACACAATTTTCGTTTACCGGTGGTTTTTTTACGTTTTTACACACGCGTCGGGTGAAATGAGACACGGAACGGGGCAGAGATCGATTAAGCGTTTTACTCGCTGGCCAAACAAATGAAAATGCTAAAACTTAAGTATTGCAGTACCTCCTCCGTTTTTCTGGCAAAGATACGGGAAACGCCAAACATTTCCCAGACCCACGGCGAATCCTATCGCAGCGAGGACGAATTCGATTTTATTTCCCCATTTACCACGGTCGTTATCGGCCTCGTAAATACGAACTGTTACTCCATTGCTCTCGATGTCCGTGGTCGGGTGCGGAGGGTTGAGCTCCTCCAGCTCCTCGTTTTCAACGTTGAACGAGATCTTCTTGGTATCCGAGTAATCGAGATCGTCTTCTTTGGCCATTTTCTGAACCTCTGAACTCTTAACACACTGTTTACCCTGGAAAACAAAACATGGAATTCGTTTGAGTCACGAGGTGAGTTATAAATATGGATGATATTGATGATTTTTCCGTCTACAACACCTACGCGATGTTTTGACGCTTTAAGCATTTGTTGACCACTGAATATTTAGTCATGGTTGTCGTTGTGCCGTAAATAAGATGCGGAAAATATGGAAAGACCGCCATAAAAGCAACTCTGCTAAGATAACCAAACACGTTGAAACTAAGAAATGTTGTGATGAACGAAGTTCTCTGTGAGATTCAGAATTCAAATTGTTTATACCGTCTTTTTATGCATCAATCCTACTTTTCTACTGATGTCGGATCAAGTAAGATTTACCAGCGTCTGGAACAAAAGGCACGTTGTTATATAAATTTACCCGCTGAAATATCAGGAAACAATTTTTAATTGAAACCGTAAAAAAAAAAAACACGTTGAAAACTCATTCTGAAACAGGCATAAGCTTCGTTCAATCCTTTACGCAGGTTAAAAATATTTATTATTTTGTTTTTCTCTGAGGGGATTGTCGTCAATAAGTTTACACTTTTCTTTGTGACGGTCATGACGCCAAGCGGCCAAACCCAACGTACAACAAGAAGTCCCACATTCACCAACAAAGCTGTACAACTGCGATGGTCAATCATGTCTTCAAAGCTGTACAAACACTGAAGAAAGCGAGTGACTCTCTTAGGACATACCAGTAAAAAGTCGCTTTCTTTAAATGCTATGCTTCCAAGAAAACAACGACACTGCCTTGGACTAATATTCCTGTTCGCTTTTTTCGACTCAGTCTAACTTAACCGCGCTGTGTAATTGCCAGAAAATGGACGATCTTTTTTTTCCACTCAGAAAGAGGAGTTCGTCACTTGATACACTACCTTAGCATCGTTCCCAGGCTTAAAAGAGATTTGGAAAACGAGCTAGCCAGGGAGCAAATTCCCGCAGGACAGTCGCGCGTGACCAACTTTCGGAGCTATCGCCTTACAAGAGGTGACTGAAATACAGTTATGTCTCTAATTAAAATGTTCACTTTTACTAAAGCGGAAAGTTGATGATCAGCAACACAATAATGCGAAAATAGTTCGTTTCTTTTCTTTCTTTATTTCTCAAGCATTTACAACGCATTTTCTCGACTGCAGCTAGTCTAGCTGCAGTCTGTTGGCAGCTCTTTGTCAGTTTGTGTAGGGGTTAGAGAAACAGCTCGCGCCACCCGACTTTGGCGTAACGTTAGCTACACTTGTACCGTACATATATTATATCACCTGCGTATTTGGGTTTTCAACGAGCAGAATGCAGTGATTCTAGAAGAGAATTAACGATATATGTACACCTGAATTAATTTCGTTGAATACCACAATTTTGAACTGGGAGTCAATCAAAAGTTGGAATCAACTTGAACTATCGAGTTTCAGTCACGCAAAACATGGACTTCATTCAATCGAGTTAACACGACTATATGAACTGTGGACCTTCAGTCAAACTTAATAATGTGATAATCGACTTTGACACGATTATATCAACTGTCCATCTTCAGCTTACTTTGACACGGCTATATAAACTATCGACCTTTAGCCCGCTAAAGACGGACTTAATTAATACAATCGACTTTGACAAGATTACATATATCAACTATCCGTGATCGAGCTTCAGTCACGTTTAGCTTAAAGAGAGACCTAATTCAATCGACTTTGACACACAGCACGACGTTTGATTCAACTTTAGACCTTCACGTAAACTACTAGTACTAAAAGTCACGCTATAACCGTCGGATCTTTCACCACAATCGAGTAACGCGACTAGGCCTGGACTCGTACAAACTATAGCTGCTTGGCACGAAAGTTGCCGAGTACGAGTGGAGAATTTCCCTAACGCTTCCATACAAAAACAAAGCAGAAGATTAGAATCTCTTAACGTTTCGATCATGTTCAGCTTTATCTCGAAGTTGTAACGACTGGAACTTTGTCCTTCAAGTATTCTAGAATTTTAGTCTTGATGGAACTAACAAACAACAAAAGATTTAAAAAAGAAGCACTCCGATTTTAGTTTAACAGATACAACACTGGTTGTAGGATGAGTCGCTCGTTTAACATCTTCTTCTCTAAAGATGTCCTCGACCAAGATATTATGATAATAATCTCTTGCCTCTACACAGGAAAAACGTTTTTCTCGCTACCACTAAAAAGTTGGACTCGACGTACTGTAACAAATACATCCTACAGGTCTTTTTAGCCGTTCAGATATAAAGACGAAAACCATTTTGATTTGAAAAAGTTGATTGGCTCAGAATACTTTGCTTAAGTTTTATCATGAAATTGTGAGACCACCAAAAGTATCAGAAATTACTTTTACAACAAACGATATGGGGCCTTCATGAATCCTTCGATTTGTGCCAGAGCAGTGAAACTTTATAATGAAATATGAAAAATCAAAAAGGGTTTCTCTTGAACGCTTACCTTTTCAAGAACTTAAGACTGACAATATCGAAAGCCGCCAAAGCAAACACTCGTAGTTCAACGTGCAACGAGGAATGAGTTGGCAAAGGTTGTTGTCATCTTTTTATTTCGTTTATCCATGTGGTTTGCCGGCCTATTCCCGTTGTTGATCGGAGGCGGCAAATTCGATAATTCCCTGCCGGCAGGTTCACGTACGAGTCACGCGCGAGCGACGAAGCCGCGAGGTTGCGAGTCAGCGAGCGAGGCCAGCCGGCGTAAAGAAAGTCAGGTAATCCCTGTGAATTTTACGCCCCATCCCGGTGTCGCAGTAATCGGAGCTGACGTAAATTTTCACCGGGAGCACTAAGTTCGTTTGCAAACCTGCAGCGAAACAGTTAAGAGTGGCACGGGTCTTCCTCGAGCCCGAGTCAATCTGCAGTCACGGGTGAAGTTCACGTCAACGTTTATGTTGTTTTAGTTGTTTTTCTCTTACGCTGCAATATAATGTAACATATTAGGGGGGACAAGTTTTAACTCTTGTCCTCGCAAGTTTAGGAGGCCGATTAAGGCGCTGCCAATGCCGTTTGCCGGTTCAGTCAGTTTTCATAGCCTGCTGCAAGGGTTGGTATAGTTGGGTAATAGCGAAAATAGGGCTAATCTCGGTCAACTATTGGCAATCAGGTAGGGAATTACGAGTTTGTACCATTTGCATGCCAATATTTTATGTGCACTTAAATATTGTTTCTTTCCCAGTTTGTCGTATTGCCCTCGTAACTAGTTCCGCAGTGATATTCGATTGAAACACTGACACTGTCACACTGAAAACACAAATGTAAATTACAGTGTATCACGTAAAAAGACAAACGTGCTTTGCTCGCGCCGCTAGCATTTAAACTCAGCAGCGAACTCGCTCTGCAGAAGAAAATACTAGCTGAATGAGCTTTCCTAAGTTCTTATGCTCCCCTGATCCTGGTAAGCCGACAAATTGTAGTTTCTGAACCGATAAATACCAACTCAGTCCGGATCTAATCGCTTCCCATCAAACATAATTGATTAATAGTTTCTATCCTTCATCGCTCTTTTGCTTCGCTAAGGCGAATATTATTTATTAATGCAGGTTTATTTTAATGCAGGCTTATTTTTCCCGCCGGTTCACTTCGCTTCCCGATTCGTTCTCGCGGTTTCCCCTTCGCGCGTGACCCTTAAGTGAGTTCTCGCGTCACTCGTCGCTCTCGCGTGACTAAGTGACGTCTTTTGTATATTCCCACTTGACCCAGATTTCCTGAATGTCTTTCAATAGCTGACATGATTTATTTAAGCATGTCTATACCTGTAGATCGGCACTGAAATTCGTCGCATTCTTCTCTTGATTTAATAACATATTTCTCTTTTCGCTTGTCTGAATTTCTTTAAAGCAGCCATGTCTTTTTTAGCGTAAACTTTTATGATATCCCCAGCAGTGGAACCCAGCAGGGAAGGGAAACATCCTTAGCCAAACCAAATCAAACTGACGTTGAAATTTAAACTTCCAAAGTACCCCTGTCTCACTCTTTAGCCGTAAGGCTTTCAAGGTCCTGTGAACTGGCAAGTCGAAGTTCGTTACAGATGATAGGAACTTCGCTAGTATCGGTCTGAAGCACGTCCAGAGGCTAAACAAAACAGTAGTAGAAGTCTGGCGGTGTAATGCGCTGTGATTGGTTAATCGCAGAACAATAACATCCCATCCGTGACGTCACGCTTGTATTATTTCCATCCATGTGAAATTGCAACTACACGTTTTTAAAAACAATTTCGATGTGTTTAGTCTCTTGGAAACATAATATTTATATTTAGGTGTACCTGGCTTTGACAAGTTTACGAAAAGTTTAAAAAGCAATCAAGAGGACAACGTGGTTTCCCACGGGTTTTTATTGAAAACTTGCGCGAGCTCAGAGCTACAACTCTTTTGTTGTCTCGTAAAACGCGATACCCTTGTCAATTTCAAGTGGACTTAATAATCGCATCGGCGCGCCTCCAAATTTAAAATGATAAGGTTTAAGACAATTTGTGGCACACTGACACGACGAGTCACGCTACTGGCAACTGGACAACAAACACTACTTTAGCAAGAAAAAGATATTCCCAAGATTTTCCCTAACAATTTTGCCTCTGGAATAGTCGCTCTCGACTGTCTGGTAGATGAACCGTAGCATACTGAAATACCCTAAGTACTAGATAGTTAAAATTCACTCCAAAATACGTCCAGCGTGGTCGGTTTGAAATTCTTGAGTGGGCGACTGAAGATAAAACCATCATTCCTTAACCCCGGGACACGCATATGGCTGTGTTTGAACACACTGTATTTTGGATCTCAATCAACCACATCCGCTGAAAATTATTGTTTTATTGCGATATATTGAATACCATCCCTGGGGGTCAGTAAATATCTGTTAAGAGTTTTCGTTACGTGACGTTTCCGAAAGGAAAATGTTCAATTAATTTGAAAAGGACTAGTCAAAATTTGACTCTTAATCTTCTACTCAACTTCTAAGTAAAAAGTCCTTTATATTTTTTTCATGATTATGCATGCAAATTTGAAAATTCACTGATATGTGTTGACTGTACTTCAGCGCGATGTCTTGAGTGGTACGCGCCGAAATGATTATGTGAAACCATCACACTGCCAATCATAGGGTAAAACTTAAGCTAAATTATATGTCTGAATATTAATTGGAATGCTAATATTAACTGCCGTTTCATATCACCCATAATAAACTTAAAAAATAGCGATAAAATTAAAATGATTATATTTTCTTTGAAATATATTTTTCATGAAGTTTGTTATGAAGCGAACAAAACTTAACCTGAATTACTTTTCTTTTAATCAATATGTTGCAGCAGGTTGCTTTAAATTCGTGTTTCAAAAATAGCCAGACAAGATGTCTGAAAGCCGGGTTGTTCAGGAATATACCAAAACAAGTTTAACTTGAGCGACCTCGCGCAAACAAGGGAGGTTTCTTTCTGTAAAACATCGAGCCTCTACCTCTAAATTCTTGTTGATCTTCCTAATGCCGCCACGCTTTTTCGAGTGTATTATTAGGGCTATTAGTCCATCAGACAAAGTAGGTCATGTGATGTCCAGCTGCAAAGATGGAATGGTTGCTAAGTAATTTACCCTGAGGTGGTGGGCATACAATGGTTGAAACCTTTCATAACACTGAGTTTTTTATCTTTCTTGCCAGGTCTAAGTTGGATTATAGAAATAAAATATTCTCCCTTAACGTTTGCAAGGATTAGTCAGAATCTGGAATTAAAATTTCGATATAGCAGGTTGCTGTAATGTAAATTAATTTCCATGGTCAGTTGATAAACTAAATAAGCGTAATATTACACTTCGATTTATGTTTCAGTTTCTAACGAGGTGCAAATATGCAAAGGAAACTCAGTAATCAGTTATGAAATACTTGTTGATTTTTCACTTCAGTTTTGTCGGTGGTATTACAGCCCTTTTGTACTGAAACGCTAAGACGTTCCGTTTATATTGAACACAAGTGTGATCCATGCATTGTTTGAGAACAAAAACTTATTTGGTGAAGATTTTAAAGAGCTGTACGTGCAAACTTCCCGTAACGTCAAAAATGACAGTTTATTCACCGTGCAAGACAGACGGTGTGAGATTAAAGACTATTAAGAATGAATAAAAACGATGAAATTGTGCTTACTTCAATTGCAAGTATAAATTGCAAATATGAAAGAATAGACAATCTGAGCTGAACAATAAGCTAACGATCCTTCGAGAGGCTTAAATTGTACAAAAATTGAGCAGTAAACAAGTGGATGTTTTCAGATATAGTCTGGTCTGGAGAAGGTTTCTGAAAACAGCTAGCAATTCTTTGTAAACGAAGCGAAGTAAGGAATAATAGTATTTAGAAAATGGTTTTTCCGCCACGTGAAGTCACGTGAGTGCCTAATAAATTTTTATAACTTTTGTAAGACTATCTTCGAAGCGAAGGATCCTTCGAATCAAAAGCAGACACCATAGGGTTTATTGAATCACTTGCATTCACGTTAATATCTTTTTGTGAAAGAATGTTATGTTATGAAGCAGTTTCCCGGTGTGAAAGAAATCAAGTGTTGACTGGTTATTTCGTTCTTTCGTTGTAATTAATGTTTAACTTCTTGCGAACGCCACCGTGTTTACATGCGCTCATGCTAACCAAACGCGCGAAACGGCTGATCTTTCCATTCGATGCGAGAATCACACACTCTTCAATGAACAGATACTCCTGAAAGACAGTGAGCGATCCATCTGAATGAGCTCAAGCTCGGAGTAAAGGTAAATTTTCGAATTTAACGGCGCTTTTTGCTTCCCGTCGCATTGTGTTTGAATGAATTTGAAAACCGTACAATCGTCTCAAACTACCTTGTGTGTCCTGTTAATCGGGAACGAAAGAAAAAATACTAAAGGAGTTCACAGATTAGATCCAACAGTACAAAATGATTCTAAACATACCAATAACAGAGATCCAAACAAGTCCCCAAAAATTCGCCGTTCACACCACGTGGAATACGTACAAATCGATATCACAGTCGTTCCAGCCAAATATTCATTTACAATGCAACGTGCCAAACAATAGATCAAATCAACCGGGAACCAAGCAGCCAATCACGATCATTTTACTTACGAGCTTCTTTCTGTTTCCATTGCGCAACTAGTCGGTCAGGTTTTACCTGTATATTTATTTCACTTTCTACCTTTTTACCTTTTTCCAACGGTGCACTTGCTCTCTGTATACACTAAGTGTTGGGTCTTGCGCGAAATTACAGAGGCAACGCTTCTGACCCGGAAAAAAGAAATGGATCGACATCCTTTTCCCGAAGGAACGAAGCTTAATCTTGCGTAAACGTGTTGTGAGCAAGTTCCTTTCATAAAGGAATGGATATCTAACAACAAATTGGTTCATTTTGGATAATCTTTAAGCAAATTTGCCATAAAAATCATTTATGTTTGTCACTTTCGAACTTGAAAACTTTCGAAAGGGATTCTCAAGCTTGGTAGTTTGCCTCGGTGTTTAAATGAACACTGTCTGCCGCTTTGTCATTCATGCATTACTAATCATTTGTAGTAAGTGGTAAATCGCTTTTAGAATTTTAATTTCAAAACATATTCCATAATGGAATCGAGGCGTCAAAACGTTTGTTTCTGTTTCCACTAAAACTAACACAGACGCAAGTGATCGTATTCCCAATGCATTCAAATATTCAGTCGCAGTCCTCGTATCTTCTTACAAAGACCAATAGTGCTTTTCAAGGTAAACCTAGCTAATTACAATTCAGGGTTGATCGACGGTGGAGGTATACTCCGACAGAGCGGCGTGTAAATTGGCAGACTCTGTTTTTGACGATAAAATGACTCACACAAAGGTGTTCCACGCAGACGTAGACCTTTCATGAGATGCTTATTAACTAAGCAAGACTTTAAAAGAAAATGGTTTATAAATACAGCTGAGTTTCGCTAAAATGCGACGGACGTCTTATGCAAATCAACATTCTTTTTGTGCATCGTGGTTGCCACGTTTCCCGCCTTCTTTTCCCGCCAAAACAAGAAAGCCTGACACCCGCTGGTCTGTTTTTGTCTCTAGTTTACAAAAGGATTTAGGAATAGTAAACAGCTCGAAAAGCGGCGAAGACCGCCCGTAGAACCCTCTCATATTTATTATATAGCGATAGATTTCAGTTTGATATGTTTACCCCTCAGTTTGTATCCTTGATAATAAGGCAGCCTGAAGCTTAAAATACAAGTTAAATGCTTCGTCAAACGGTATATGAAAAAAAGAAATTGTGTAATTAGCCAGGCCATTTTTGCTTAATCCATGAGGTGAAAATGAAATATCTTTGAATTTTAAAAAGATCACAACAGAGTTGAAACAGAGGAAATTTCGGAGCAAAAGTGCTCACGCAAACTTGATTTCACTCGCTCGACAGGAGTTAGGTTTTGCAATCTTCTTCAATCTTTGTTTTTAAGACATTTCACTTGATAACAACTGAGAACGATCTATAGTTTACATATCTTTAACAAAATCACTCAAAGTAGCGTGATATTAACCTAATTATCTGGCGCAAGAGGATCATAATCTCTTGTCTGGCTGTGATAGTTTCATTATGGTATTCAGTCAAATTTTTATCAGTTAGAGGCCTTGCCTGCTGTCCTGATTTCCTGAGATATGATAGGGCCGTATGCTGAGCCTATGCGTGGTCCCGTAGTGGCTATTTGGTTCAACCGAAGTCGCCTTGAATCTCTGATACGCCTTAAGCGTAGCAAATCGATCAGCTGAAAGGAACGGAGGTTCGAAACAGGGTCGTAGCATGCATTTTTATTGGAGTACGCTTGCACGGAAGAGACATGCCCTCCAGGAAATAAGAAGCAGAAGAAATAGGGTGTGGAATAATGGAAATTTAGGCCCCGTCTACACTACGGAGGAACGTAAAAACGGCGTTTTCATTCTGAAAACGCATCAAATGTTTTCCGTCCACACTACGCCATAGGAATGTGAAAACGAAACACTCACCGGTCATTTTGGATTTGTTTTTGAGGAAAACTCGGTCATACAAATCACATGATTATCGTGACGTCATCGTTTTCGAAAAACTCCATTTTCAAAATGTTTTCCGTCCTCACCAAAACGCAAAGCCGGCGTTTTCAAATTCCTCCGGTTTGAAGAGCTCCGTTTTCGTGACGGATTAGTGTGGACGGAAGGCCTAACCGTAGAAATAAAGCTGCGTTTTTTAAATTTCTCCGGCGTAGCGTGGGCGGCCCAATTTCCCTTGTAGACAGGATAATGTTGATGATGATGACGATGGGGCGTGATGAGTGTGGACGGGGCCTTAGTGTTAAAACTTGGCAAAAATGTTAGACATTGAACTGTTCAGCGTGGCAGTCGTGTTATGATTTTTCCATAAATTTCGCAGTTTAATTATTTTCTCATGGCTAACTTTGACCAGGTCTTACTTCAGACAAAAATATGATAAACGTTGATAATACGTCTAAATAATGCTGCCGTGCAGCGCACCTCCACATGCCCGCAGATTCCATGATTGAAATCCCTAACCAGGTATCTCAAAACCTCTGAGGCTGATAATACAGTCGAACCTGTATTTAATAAGCGGCCACCTGTTAAGCGGCTACCCCCTGTTAAGCGGCCAGTTGTCAAAGTCCCGGACTTTTGTCAGTAAAATATTGTAAACAAAACGCCCACTAACTGGTCACCTCTATTAAGCGAAAACTGCCACCTCTATTAAACGACTGCTGCCACCTTTTGGTCGCCCCAATGAGGGTTTAGTTTTATTTATAGCCCTATTAAGCGGCCACCCAAAATTTTATACATGTAGTTTACCTTTTTTGGGGAAAAGCGATGACAGATAAGAGTCCGAAATAGAAAGTGACCATTGATAAGAACATTGAAACACACGTTTATTATCGTCTTCACGGGATTCCATATTGCCTGAAGCATGCTTGTATTTAAATAAATTGACATTTCTACTTGCTAAGCCTCATGCTAATTCCAGACGAACCCCTAGTAAGCGGCCACCTCCCATTTCCCCGAGGGTGGCTGTCTAATAGGAGTTCTATTGCATTTCAAAATAGTTTTGAAATTTTCCTCTGCATCTCACTCTAGAAACACTGCTTCGAAGGGTTAAGACGGCATTTAATAAAAGCCACAACTGTTACTCCCCATGGAAATGTAGTCTACGCAAAGAGCGGTCCAACCCGTTGATGAAAATAGTTTAACCTCCCTTGTTGTAATTAACAGATTTTTGTGTAAAATATGACTAACTTAGTTACTCACTAACTGTCCATTGCACCTACAGGCATGTAGGGCCAACTTAGACTTCGCTTAAATAATTGTTTTACTGTACTCAGTTTCACACACACATTTGGTGCGCCCTGTTAAAGAAAAATAATAATAATAAAAAAAGAATTGCCAACTGCATGACTGCCCAATAATTAGCTCGGATCTAAAAACTATACATTTTTATAGCAATGCTGAGTCGAGTTAGTCCTACTCTGTTTTCCTGATGGTTTGTACAGTGTTGAGGTAAAAATTCCCTACTCTTTCGTGTTTTTCAAGTCAGTCAGCGTTTTCGAGAGTTTGTTTCTTGGTGGTGGACGATTCAAGCAAATCCCGCACAATCTCTGTGTCTCTCCTCCTCCTCGTGGTCATTCGTTGATATAATCGTAACAGGAACACCGCTGGTATGCATAAACAAGATGCGCAGATGAGGAAAGCAATTATGAAATAACACCAAGAGGGGTACTGCACGCTCTTTACATCACCCTGAAATAAATAAGTCACATTGACGATTAGCTGTACTTATTATTTAGCTTGTAATTAGCTCTCAGTCAACTATAGATTCTCATTTGAAGTTATCAATCAAATTCATCGAAGAACCTTCCGAGCGGAAAAACGTAATAATTAGCATGCGCGAGTTTTGGCCCCGCGCCTGTCTCTAAATTTGAAAACATGGCGGGAAAATTTCGTCGATCGTGTAAGCAAGGAGAAGTAGAAACTGAGAAATCTCAGTTGAAGATCTGACTATGAAACTGGACGTTTTCGGTGATATATGGAAGAAGCCTTTTCGAAGAAATAGCACTAGAATTCACAATTTTCAAATAACAATTACTGAATCGTACTGTCCTCACACAATCTGTTGTCATAAGACTTTGGCTTCTTCAGCACAGCTAGATCAAGTCAATTTACCTTATTTTGTCTCCACGCTGAATATGTAATTGGCTTCAATCCAATGTTTAGCAGACTGCAGACAAAAATCACCAGGACTATAGCTGGAGACACGTATCTCCATGTTATTTTCCAGTACAGACCAGGCCGCATTCGAAGCATGTACTCTATGTCATCATAAAACCTGGAAATTTAAGACACACTGTTTAAAGTTGGAAAAAAAGTCGTGTATTTCATTCAGTCTATCGTGATCAAAGCCCAAGTACATTTACATGAAAACATCACTGAAAATGTACACTAAATAAAGTATCGTGTTGTTGGAAGTTGTGTTTTGTTAGCCCAAAAACAGGCTGTTTTGATCTTCAAGACTGAATTTCACTTGTCTGTTCATAAGCAGAGCGGTCCCGAGGACGCGGTGCGTGAAAAAAGCACCCTCCCCTCTCCCTCTGGGTGTTTTTATTCAGTTGCGTATTCGGTTTCAATTGTGGCAAGGTTCTTTACCTCAAACACACGAAGAGAAACGAATATTCCTTGTGTTTTTACAAGGGGTATGACAGAACAAGTGTAACTCCTATTTAATGACCCTCCCATGTGCCAGTCCCCACCTGTTAGCGCCGTACACCCATGAAACTCCAACAAGTTCAAAGAAGCAGATAAACAGAAGCGGAAGTGTTCCTGTAAAGCTGTCAAACATCTGCAGCCAGTACTCCCCAGACCTCTGGCAGAACAGCAAACCAATCACCATGCATAGAAAACACGTGAGCCCTGGGGGATAGATTAAATCATTTCATCTGTTATTGTGTAATTGAGAAAATTACCTCATTGTGATTGGCTGAGAGCAGGCCAATTTATCGTCAATTTTCAATTTGCACTGCAGTGCAAATTGACGCGCGCTCTTTCATGATTTCACCAGTCATATAATAAATGAGTAATCGTATGAAGGTTCGTTCAATTAGTGATATTTGAAAATTCGTTCAAATTGCACGCGCCTAAAGACACGTGCAATTATCACTCGTAGTGGAAATCCTTAATTGCACTCGCATTTATAAGATTACCCTTACTTATGGCAACAAGCGCCGTGCCTAATGAGATAAATATTCCAGAACGAATATTCAAGAATCTTCGGAAAAGATATTTTTTTTTTACCATGTAATGCTAACAAACCATTGAAAAACTAACTAGAAATTAACCTGTAAGTATTTCCTTCCGCAGCGGAATCAACTTCTGATCGTGTAGTGAGTTAAGAACACCCTCCAGTATTCCAAACATACTGCCAAGACCAAGAGACAACAGCATGGAGAAGAACAACACTGACCACAGTGGCGACAGAGGCAGCTTGAGAATGGCTTCAGTAAAGGCAATGAATGTCAGACCAGGACCTTGAAAAGACTGAACGAAATGAAAAACAAATAAGATCAATGTTGGCAACGCTTTTGATCGTAACTGAATCAATCTGGGGAGCAAGCAATTCCTAGTTGACCGGGCCAGCATTTTCCTCGATCAACAGAGGTTGACGTGAGTGCAGTCTTATAATTAACATGTGTTTGTATTAGAACATTCAAGAAATCTTCAATAACTGAACGACTCGATGATACTGAATACCTAAAGGAAAAATATAAAAAGTAACGTAATTCGACGTTTCGATGTATCCAACATCATTATCAAGAATAAAAATCGTTGAATGTCAAAGTTGTTAAAAGAGTTGAGTTATGAATATCATTAGATGGCATTCCTGTGTGCGTGATAATTATGCTAATGAAATAGCTTCGCGCGAATCGAGTCAGATGGCACGTTCAATTATGGTTTGAGATCTTGTATAAACAACATTTCGTAAATAAGGCAGTCTAGTTTATTACGGCACTTTTTGAGGACCGAAAAATTGTCCGCGATAGTTGGTTTGTCGACTCCATTTTGTTTCACATCGTTTACTTTTAGGACCCGACTGAAATGGCACAAGCTCATAGAAATGTGGAGTTTACGCAAACAAGACAGGTCTTGGTCCTCTCCATGCATAAACTTCAGTCACATTATTTCCATCGAAACTGGAAAAAAGGTTACTTTAACTTTACACATTATCGCAAACAGGATTCGACCACTAGGAACTTGGAAAGACTGCTGCAACTTTTGCACTCCTACCTCAGAAAGCCAGTGTTCCAGATTATGACATTTTTTGTCAAGCGTCATTCCGGGAGGAAGATTTGTGTTGTTCACTCCTCCATATAACCTTAAGCATTCATCGTACGAATCGTGTGCCTGTTTAATACAATGAAACAAATCAGCTCAGAATTTTTCTTGTTAGGCGACCTATACTAAAATGATTATTTTTTCATATAGGAAAAAAAGGACTTAGCTTTAATAGGAAGTATCGGCGATATCAGTTTTTAGCGGATAGTGCAAGGTGTACAGAAAAGAAGAAGAAATCATTTTGTGTAAATAAAGCATGAATTGTTAGACTACCTGAAAAACCAGATAAACACTCTGTTGAGAATTTGTAATTTTTTCTTACAACAAACTAGGCCCAAAAATATTTCTGTATCCAGTCCTGGAAATGGCTGCAACCTTTCCGCTACAATCAGTGACACAGCTGTATTCCTTTGTTGTTCAACAGCAGTTACAAATAGGCCTTTTTCGCTTGGGCGGTTTTCTATCCCATTACAGACCACATGATATTCTCTAGAGTATTGTTCTTTTATCCATCTAAAAATTAATTATTTATAAGCACACGACTACATGTATTAGAAAATTAGAAAGGAATTCTCAAGAGCCATTGCCCCATTTCACATGGTCTGAAATAGGGCAACGAACCGTCCAGTCGAAAAAGGTCTATTACCCTGGCGTGACACCAGTTGCAATGGCCCTGTTCTTCCAGAGGAGAGTTAGGTACTAAGGTCTTGTACTCGTGTACTATTTGGATCAACCGTTTCTGGTTGGTTGGGGTTTTTCGTGATCTAATGGGGAAAAACCGTTTTCAGTTGAATTGGTTTGGTTTATCAACTAAGTTTTCAACCGGCCTCAAACCAGGTTGAAACGGTTGAAACGGTTGAAAAAGCATTTGTGTGATTATGTCACGTGATTGTAGCTTGCCTAAGGACCAATCCCAGGTGTTAGCGGGTTTCACTTTTCCCGGTGGGAAAAGTGTTCTTTTGAGAAACGGCAACCGTATGAACCAAACCGATTGCGGTTGAAAAGGTTGATCCCAATAGAACACGACCTAAGAGAAAGAGAGATACCAACTGCATGTTTCTCGCGCACGTCACCACCTATTCTGATTGGTTAAGTTCATTACGCTATTTGCGGTGACAGTGAATGTCTTTGAGATTCGCGGATTAATATTTTAACATTACGGCAGTTGTTGAGAACACTAACCTACCTTAAAACCAAGAACGGAGAACACTACAACAGCTGCAAAGACTGACGTCAAGCTGTCAATTAAAGATACAAAGATGGCGTCTCGACGGCAGTTGTTATGTACTGGGTTGTAACTTGACATGGCGATAAGGGTTCCAAAACCGACACCAACAGAAAAGAACACTTGTGTAGCGGCCTCCAGCCATACTAAAGGAGAAGCTAGTCTAGAAAACTAACACGAACAAAATGAAATCAATGCACCTCCCTACTCCGGGATAGTTCAGATAGACAGGTTAATTTTCAAAAGAGTACTAGTTTTTAAGTAAAAGTAGAATATCTCTTGCCACACCTTTGATTACCTGAGGCTTAAACATGTGTATTATTCCATCCAATGACCCTTTCAATGTTACAGCTCTTCCAAAGAAAATAGCCAACACAACGTATGGCAGTGTAGCGGTCACATATACTGCCTGATGACAAAAAGGGAAAATAATACAGGTTCACTCCCGTACCAAGAAGGGATTATTGTCACTAACATAGAGTCTCGTCTAGTTTGTGAATGAAATTTTAGGATTACAGCGTATTACGTATACATGTATGCACGGACGAATACAGAATATAGGTAAACCCAGAGAGGAATTACTTTTTAAAATCATTTTAGACTAACGTTTTCTGAATTTTTTAGCCTCAGTTGGTTTTCGCACTGAAATTCTAATTTGACTTCGGGGATAGAGTCCAAGAGAAGCAAGAATACAAGGAAAAAGTGATTAATTTCGTTTGCTTTGTTTCGCTGGGCGAAGAAGATCTGAAATAAGAAATATATCACAGCTTACTCAGTCCTCTTAATCTCGCATTCAAACAAAGTCACTTCCAAGTAACATAGTCCTCAATAGTATTCCACAAGAACTTACAATCCGTGGGGTAACAGGCCGCGGTGAACTAGAAAACTTTAGGCGAATCTAAAAATAGCTCAGGATTGACGAGGAACCACTGTCCCCCTTATGTGATGCTCTCTCATTGTGTCTCGGCAGCGTACTTAACCAAAATTGTCATATCAAGAAGTAATAACATGCTATTCTATCGTGAGAATTGCTAGAACGTTACCTTCCCAGCTGACTGGACCCCACGGCTGACGAACAAGAACAGGACAATCCATGCCAGTAGCAGCACAAGGCAGAGATGCCATTGGAAATCACCCATTTCCTCGATAGAACTCGTCGCACCGAGAGCTTTAGTGTACCAGAAATACTGTGTGCGACCTGCTAGTTTGCATTCCTCGTTAACCGTGCAGTTCACTCCACTAGGACAAGAGGAATAGGGCAGAGGGTCTTGAAAAGACACAAAAAGGTAGTAAAAACACCAGCCAATGATCATGTTGTAGTACATGGAAATCAGAATACACACGACCACCGAAGCAAGCCCAACCCCACCCAGGTAGGGATGAATCGCCTTCCATACGCCGATGGGACCCTGGCGGACGCTTTGGCCAATGGCGAGTTCCAAGAAGAACAGCGGAATTCCGAGCAAGATCAGGCTGATGAAATACGGAATGAGAAATGCACCTGAAGAAATCAAAGGTGACACAGTGAAGTTAACTTCACAACACAACACGCGAGTGAGATAAGTTTTAAAGTGACCCGGTGACCATGAAAGTACAACAACGACTGTCCAGGCTCGGTCAATTTTGTATTTATCATATGGCCACCTCCGTCAGCGGGCAAGATGAACCGAACCCTGCGCTGTGAATGGCTACCCGAGCGGCCAAGATGGCGCTACCTTGCCCACTCGGGATTGCCCGCGGTGTGCCGTAAGTAAATAGTGTTCTTGCCCTATATAATTAATAATTTCTTTATTGACCAAGCTTGTCCGGTCAAAATGGCTGGATATTGGCCTCGTTCTTTTTTTTTCGTGTTTGCGGACATCGACTCTGTCTCGGTCCATAAAAACGTAAAACAAAGAACTTGGCCAATATCCAGCCGTCTTGACCGAACAAGCTTGGTCAATAACCCCTTTGACTACAAAACAAGCTTGTCGAGCCGAGAAACTCTACTGGTTTTTTGTGAGCGAAATTTGAGAAACTTGCCTCTGCCTTGTCAGTCGAGGATGGCAACTAGAGTAAATTTTAAAAGAACCGTTATGGGTCTCCTTTAAAACATAGAGAGAAAGAGTTCTGATCGCTTGTTAAAGGGAACAACCGCATTATACCGACGAAAAACGTCCTTCCTCGTTCAAGTAAGGTGTCGTGTGGGCACTTGATAAGCTCTTCAGTGCTTTTCCTCAACGAAGTCATTCTGAATCAGTAAAATAAATCACTACAATTTTTGTGTTTGTGAGGATAAAAGAGGCTAACTGGTTTTTTGTTGTTTCGTTTGTTTTCATCGTTTTGACCCGTAAGGTCCAGTCGATCTATTGTTACCAAGAGTTACCGTTTTGCAGGCGTAAAATTCGGATTCGTTGATTTGCCTTTTAGCTTCAGCGCTCGCTGCTAATATCATTTACCGCCGAATGCCAAGATGCCATTTTATCTTTTTCTTTTCGGTCATCGCAATTCGACAACTTTGAAGATAGAATTGTTTTCCGTCGGTTTTGCTCGTTGTTACAAACGAGCAATGCGGGAATCTTCAACTTTTGCTTACTCCTGTATGCCACTGACATTAGTGTATTCGTCGTTTACCGACATTTAGCAAAATTCTCCAAGTTAATATGTATTCTTACTTTCAGAATTCGCGGGGAACATTGTAAAAACATTTTCATAAGAAAAAATTACTGTTATATATCGTTACTGTTAGAGGATTCTAGTAGCTCGAAATTTATACAGTAAAAAGAAAAACAGAGTTACAAAAAAATATGTAATCATCAGGCTGGGCTTTATAAACATTGAATGTTACTTGATATTAAACTTGTGAGGTTAGATCCTTTAAAAGTGCACTAATTTCAGTTAAATACGGATATAAATTCGTGTCATTTTTTAATCCCCACAACAGGACGTCTTTTGCTTTCGCATTTTAAACACTTTATTGTTCGATACATGTGCTATCGTGAATAAACAAGCATTTATACTTCCAAAGATAGGAAATGGTATCTCAAAAGCACAGAAAAATAGACTGCAGTTGAGTGTCGAAAGGGACGAAGTTAGCCGTTACAGAATAGGATAATTTTGAAAATCTCGTTCTGATGTTAGAAAAGGGTCAAATTATTTTTTGTTGTTGTTTTCAACCGCGCGGTTGCCACAGTGTATTATGCGACTATCAAATGCTGTATCTATTCTTATCGCTTATTGTATGTCCAATTTTCACACGTTAAATTACAGAAAATTTTCTCTTACCTCCTCCATTTTTCTGGCACAAATAAGGAAATCTCCATAAATTTCCGAATCCAACAGCAAAGCCGATAGTGGCGAGAATATACTCAGCTTTGTTGCCCCATGTCCGGCGCCCTATAACTTCCATTTCGCTCGCCGTGTCCCTCTCCGAGTCATCACACTTGCCTTCTGTCGCTATTTCATCGTTATCACCCGTGGTTAGAGCCAGAGTTACCTGGCCGTCTTTTCGATTCTCTCTCGCCGTCATTTCCGCCAAGTTATAAGCGCGCGAGAACTGAAAAATACAACTTGCCTGCAGGCTGGCTTGTGGACAAAAGCTATCGACCCATGAATGAAAATAAATACAAACCGGTTTTTTTCAAATCCTAATAAACGGGTTTGACTGGTTGTAAAATCTGCTTATTTAGTAGAAAAATCACAGTTCTATGTTGTGTTCAAGGAATCGACGGTATTTAAGCGAGTGAAAAACTTTCCAGTCTGTTAAATAACGTGGAAACAATTTCAAAACATTTGCGTGCGTGTGGAGAGAGAGTTCACAACCGCGCCATGTGAGTCAACATTACATCAGCCAAATTGTATTGCATCGCTTTGTTCTACAGAGGCGCGTTTTGATGGAAATGTTGTCAACAATTTTTTTTTGTCTATTGTGAAGAGTACTTTACAAATTTGTTAATGTCGCCCTCACTGGAAAATAAGGCCAGAGTCGGACAGCTTACATCCATAGACCGAAAGAGACAACTTGCATACTTTCTACTCACGCAGCATAAAAAAATACAAGTTGAAACGAAGGAAATGAGTCTCTGTTTCCAATAGAAAGCGTTAATATTTGCTTTGATGGAATGTCAAGATTCTTCAGTTCAGGAAAGTCACTGATATGTCGGATTATGCAAATCCTTGGTAGACCGTTTGAAATAAATTAGCCGCTTGTGTGCATAGCGGGCCGGGAAAGTGTGAGCTTATAAACATAGGCCTATGTTCTTTTATATTGTCTCTCATTTCCTCTTGTTTCTTACAATTTTTCTAAATACTAAAGTAGAATGCATAGTGCAACGTGTTTAGCTTTATATTAACACAGATAATCCACACTGAATTATCTTCATTTTCGCCCTTGATGAGAAAAGCTAGGTCATTAAAACATGATGGAAGCTGTTATGAGTTACCCTAAGGTTTAAGGTTGAGCGGCAGGCAGCAGTAAAAGGAATTAACTAGCCCAATGATTATTTTATTCCACAACTGTTTTCCTATTGGAGGATAACAATGGGAATTTCGAAGTAAACAATAACATCATTAGTCAGAGCAATATTATGTGTTTTTACAATAGCGTTTTAACATGACGTCACAGGGCCATTCGATTGATGTTCTTACACTAATACTACTACTACTACTACTACTACTACTACTAATAATAGTAACAATAATGATAATGATAATGATAATGATAATAATAATTATAATAATAAAATGAGATTTTACTGTCACGCCAGTAAAATATAGTTAATGGAGCGTGACGTACG